TCCAGTAATTAAGACAGAAACATCAATTCTTAGTTCTCCAATATGGCACAATCGATATAATCTTGGTAGAGCAGCATGATAAATTAGCAAAATCTAGGGCCTGAACCTGCAACTCGTAATTATACCTCATCCCATATAAGTTTTTTGTGCATGCTACTTGCACAATCAGGTACAAAAGCCAGTTACATCCCTGCTTAAGATAATCATGTGTGAGGCAAGGATTTCTTTTGATGATACCTTTTATTGGACTTTCTTCAAGTCAGAGCCTGAGGACAAATGTCTTTGCTCAGACCTGAAGAAGAATGTCTTGCATTTGAAAGCTATGTGGTTGGGCCAATAAAAGATATCACCCAAATAAATCTTTGCCTTATATAATTCCTGGACCATTACAGTTACATCACTCTAATACAACCATAAGCTAACCATAACACTCCTCTCTTATGAACACTGGACATGGGCAGCAACAACTCAAAGCCTTTTATAGTATATACTGTGTTATTCTAGTTAATGTTCTGCAACTAACATTTCCAGTAATATTTAACTATTTTCTTTCCAGTCTCTTGAAAACAGAAAATTCAAATATATTTTCCTGCTGCTCTTTTGTCCGCAGTAGAAAATATGATTTTACCCTTGGTCTCATGGAACTGAAATTAAGGTGGCTATTTTTCTTTATCCCCATATATTCCTATTTTGTTTAGGTTTACATTCCATTCCTATGGGGATAATTAACAGCTACTCCTCATTTTTGTCTTTACCATGAATGGGATTTATTGGCACTCAACAAGGGAAAACAGACCCTTCAGCATTACTGCACAACAATAGTTGAAAACAGATATTTCTCTCTCAGTAACATTGCTTTCTATAAAAAGACAAAATTTACTTACTGGAAAAATGTCTTATGGCTTGTAGGGGCTTGTACAATGTATGTATTTTATATATTTGTCTATATATGAAGAATTTAAATCACCATTTTTCCCTGTACAAAAAGCATTGCATCTCATAAATGACAAAAAATGTAAGTAGGTAGGGCTATGTTTATGAAGCATGATTATAGTAAAAACACTGAGTGCCACTCTGCATGAAAAAGTAACATGCTTATGCTTGTTTGTAAAAAGAACCAGAAGTAAATTCTGGTTTTGGAAAGCACCAAAACCATTTTAGCCTGTAAATTGCTTTTGATTCAAAATATGTTGGGAAGTAAGCAGTCCTTATTAAACAGCAGTAATGTGACAAGAACCCATGTTCAGGCACTGACTGCCCTTATCTGAGTGCTACCTGCACCATAAAAATTTAGCATATCTTCCCCACTAATACTTCTTGAAGTGATTTTATATTACATAATTCAATATAAGTCCATCACTAGATTTTCCTCAACACACACACACACACACACACACACACAGAACTTACAAAAGTCCATTTCTTCAATAAACAAGTAGTAATTGCATTGATGTAATTGTTCCTCGATTATTATTATTATTATTATTATTATTAAATAACTGTTTGGCACACCTCCAGCACACAAAAACATGGTATTTCTTTCTTCTGAGAAGCTGAAATTGTTAAAACAGCAGCTAGATGATAACGTGATATAAATTCCAAACGAAAATACATCCATCCTGAGGAACTGACTGACAAATCTCTATTTTCCATTTACATTGCAGTGGTCATGGAGTCCCCATCAATAAGTAGAAGGTCAGTGCAACGATGAGAAGCAAGCAGAATGGGGAAGAGAAGGTTTGATAGGCAGCTGATGGCATAAAAATGTCTTCATACTTGTAAATACTGACAGCATGCTCTGATACAGGCGGTGAGTCTATGTCATGTCGAGTTATAGAACCTTTAACAGGCAAAGAACAGAAAAAGATGTGAACATGGCATTTGTATTAAACCATTTTTTATCCCATTTTCCTTTTTACTTGCTAGATAGCCCATTCTCCTATTACTGCTATTTGCTATATCAAAAGGCAGGTTTTCCTAACTTTTGAAAAGGAATTTCCAACCAGCAGGGGCATCTTATAAAAACAGATGAACATGAAACATCATATACATAGTAAAAGGGAGTATGTTTTTGGTGCCAGAAAACATTGAAGAAAATACCTGAAACTTGAACAAACTAACAATGTGCTTCGAGATCATCACAAACTGGTAGCTTTGAAGCATTCTTAATAATTTTGGGTGAGGGAGTAGAGATAATCCAAAAAATATCCAAGACAAAGCATCTCTGAATGTTGACTCTTTGTCTCTAAGCAATTCTCCCTCATTTTTTCTATCCAAAAAAACAACCCTCCCATTGCCAGAACATTCAGCATACTCAATTCTGATAGAAAGGTGGAGTTAGAAAAAGCTAGGGTTCAGGACAGAATAATACTTTTGAAGGACATTTATTATAAAATATGTTATTACCAGGGATCCTGGTTTTCTCAGATAACCCCCTCTCCCCACAATTTGTGGATTAAAAAAGTAACCCCAAATCCACATTTTCCTGTGATTAAAATGTAATATCACTAAGATATATCTATATGTTAGTGGCGTTTCATTTTGGTTATGGAAAAAATGTGGAGTTTGGCTTACTTCTTTTAATCCAAAAACTTTTTTTTATCAGAGAAAACCAGGACACAAGGCAAAGCTGCGCACAGGGTGTCCCCTAAACCATGGCTACCAATTGTACTTAGCTGCTAGTTCTGTGACATTGAGCCAAGTTTTCCAATAAACAAATCTGAATGTGCCAGGTACACAAGACCAAGAATATTGTGACAATGTACCAATACAGTAGAACACAAGAGTGAAAGTGATAAAACTTGTCTATGACAAATGTTCAAACTAAAGCAAAACCCAAATAAAGAGCATAAATAGGGTTAGTTCATTAGATTTTAAAGTAGTGTAAGAGTGATGTTGTAGCCATGATTTTAAAGCATTTTTCTACCTCCATAATATTAACATCTCAGCATCAGGACAATAATTGTTATGAGTGTTAGCCTGACAGTGTTCCTTATGTACTTGCATTAAAAGCCACTGCTATTGGAAAAAAAATTGCATGCCTTCTGAAAACCATTTTAATGTATTATTCAGTGAAGGATTGAAATATGTAGCCATAATGACAAAACGCCAACTTACCCTGAATTGCTGGACCCCAAGCAAACAAATAGTACCAACTCAAATGAAGATCTACAATTGTTTCATCTCTGGGAACATACAGAGGTCGTTTGAATCGACATGTCACGCGGTTGTTTTCAAAAACCCCTTCTTCATCTCTAGCAGGATTTCTCTGGATTTCTTTAGCCCACTGACCAACATTATAGAAATGCTGTATTCGGACCCTTCCGTTGTCATCATGAACACAAGCCATGACATCATCTCCACCCTACATGAGGAAAAAACATTTTTTAGAAAAAAAGCTCAACAAAAATGCCATAAAATTCCTCTTAATCATAAAAGTATGTGCATACTTTTCATTATAAAAGCGTAGTGATGCTGAGCTCTTTTTTCCTAATTATATATATAGACCTTCCCCCAGCTACCTCCTCCCGCAGATTTTGCAGCTCAGAGCAAACAGTAATATTTACTTTTTCTGGCTCTTCACATGTATATAACCCCCTTTTTTAATTGTCCCCAAGAGTCAACTTACCAAATATGAATATTAAATTCTAAGAAGGTAGCACCATTGCCATAATTAAGTTTAACTAAAAAAGGAAAGCCTTTTTAAATAATATATGAAGTTGTCAGATACTGCTCCACCACCAAAAGTACTAGTATATAAGAACCACTGGTGTATACAAAACTCACTACACCAAATTATATATTATTTACTCAGATGTAGGAAATAACATACCAAGCTTAAAGGGATAATCACATAAACTACAAGGAATCTGCTTTGAATCAGTAATGTTTTTCCAAATGTATTTTCATATTATATATCACCCATGTGTAAACTAGAAATACAGTTTACAAATAGAATAGAATACTATAAACAATGGAATACCATCACTGGAATACTATAAAATACCAGTGGCAAAGAAAGCAGTCAATGGCTAATCTGCTTCTGTACATACTGTAGGTAGTCCTAGAGAAAGGCAACTAGGGAAAAAACAAGTGGACGGAAATATAATAATTGTTATGACAATTACCCTTTTGAGCTATTCACAGGAGTACTGTATTTCTAAGTAGGGCTGTGCAAAGCTTTGGTCGCTCATTCAATTCAGTGGAGATTTGGCCCAATTCGGCGGCCGAATCTCTAAATCCAAATCAAATCAGGAATCCAAAACAGGAATCCAAATCCAAATCAAATCATCAATCTCTCTGAATCGAATCAGAAGCCTCCAATTCGATTTGGAGAGATTCAGAGAGATTTGATGATTCAGACATAGACACAGCTTTATATGTTTTTTCTACATACCTGACGGTACCAGGCAGCTTGTGAACACTGAGATGGAGAGACAGATGGAGCATCCCAGTGGAGCATGGGGTTGGGGGGGGGGGGG